GAGAGCAGTTAATTCCACCATTGTGTTTCGTTTTAGCTTACGTGCCTCTCGGGTCCTTACAAGTATCTGTCATTTCATCATCGCACACACTGGAGAGCCATGTGGGTAACTGGAGCTCTCCTGTTTTGTGTTTTTCTTGTTTTGTTTTTTGAGGTTTATCTTTTAGTTAGAGAAGGTGGTGGTGTAAGATGAAATGATCACATTTTTGTTTTGTTTCCAATATAGTTCATCTTTTATAGAGAACAGACACTCTTGGTTTGCCTTGAATCAGGGGTTTTTAACATGTTCTACAGCTACTCAGTTCTGCTGAGATGTAACTACAGTAAGAATCCTTACCATTTATCTGTTGCATTTGAGGTGTAAGATTTTGTTTGGAAAAGTGTTTTTTTTTTTTTCTTGCTGAAATTTATTTGAAAGCTACTGACTTACATTGTCTTGATCTTTGAAATTGATGGCCCCAGGTCCTCTTGTGTAAGTCCTGTTACTTTTCAGCAGATTCTTCAAAATGTTGTTTAAAAGTTTCAAAGCATAAGTTTTAATAGCCTTGGTCATATTCCATGTTTGTCAGGATATGATGGTCTGATGACACTAAGACCTGGCAATGTCACCAACAATTCATCACAATTATCAAATGTAGCTTTTAGTTTGTGCTGCAAGTGCAGTAGCAGCAGAGAGGCAGTGTTGGTTTTAATAAGGCTTCTATCATGTAGTAGGGAAGTCACGCGTTTTAATTTGTATAGAACAACACACTGGGTAAACCAAGCACCCAAGGTTTTTAAGGTACCTCCAGTGCTCCTCGGGAAGTGTCTTAGCCACAGAAAGTGGATTTTCACATTGGCTGCATGGGTGGTGCCTCTGAGCTGGAAAACACAGGTCTGGAAGGGCCAGGCTGGCAGAGTCTCAAGTCAGGCAGGTGGAGTCTTGGCGTCTGGTGAGCTCAGAGCCTCAGCATCAGGCAGGCACAGTGCTGGCTGGAAGAACTTTGTGGGAAGGTCTGAATGCAGTGGGCCAATTCAGAGCTTTCACTCTGCTGCTCTCAGGAGAATCTGCTCAGAGAGTCTCACTGGGCCTCTTCAGTCTGCAGTTTATATACACTTTGGTGGTCATCTAAGGCCGATAAGGTCCAGAGGAAGGTGGTGGGGGGGCATGGCTGGTTCCTATCAAGTCCATGCAGATCTCTTGCAGTCAGCTTAACTCTTGCTTATTTCTTGTTAATATTATGGTGAAACTGTTTAATTTCCACTCCTTATAGTTTGGCATTCTTATATACGGAGTGTCAGACATTTGTGCCTTCATTTACTCATTTTGAATCTCATCAAAATTTTCAAGGTTTTAGTTATCAAAATAATGAAGATAAAGTTGTAAAATTTGCCTCTATTTCTTATAAAACATAACACTCAATGACATATCATAGTACCTTCTACTTTACTGTTTCAGGTACTTACCATAAAAAGAATAGCTGCTAAAGGCCATGGTGGATTTTTAATTTCTTGTTTTGTTCCTTTACTGTTTTTGGCAAATCAGCTGCTTGCAGACATATGTAGCAGCCATTCCCATTCCAGGCTTGATTCCTTGAAAAAGATCAGTGTGCCCTTAAGTGTTTGCTTCAGCCAAGGCACCCAGCTTGGTGCACATGTGCATAAGCACAGCCCTGGCTCTTTCAGAGAATGAGAGGAAGTGTGCCGTCATACACATGATTAACATTGATTCCCATGCTGTTGTCAGGAGTATGTCCATTGAGTCTAGAGATGATGCTGTCAAAACTAGCAAGGCCATTTTAATTAACAAGGAAAGACTCATTGCCATGGATTAAATAAAAATAAATGGAGTTTTTGGTGATCTGATTACAAATAATTTATTTTATTGTGTTTACTTCCTATTTCTTGTGTCTTTCAATTACTAATAAGCCACTGTTGTTAATACTTTTTATAAAAATGTTTAAGGGAATTTTTAAAGGTGATGTTTTAGAGTGAATTCACTTCCTCTGATGGTAGGTTTACACTTTTGAGCTTGCTCTGAGGGAAAGAAATATGCATAGAGCAGTTTGTTTTGTATAATGGTTCCTTAGTATACTGGTGGCAAGGCAATGTAAGCTCATACTAAAAAAGGAAGGCACTAATGAAGTGACAAAATTGATTATCTTACTTTTCTCTTGTTATCTACACTAAAAATCAACAATGAAATTAGAAATGTGTTCCATCATCTCTTATTTGTAAAAGGGAACAAACTAACATTACCATGATTTAACTTGACTTGTAGGATGATGCTTTGAGAGATTCACTTTAAAATGTCCTGAAAGATAATGTTCAAAGGATTGGCATTTTCTAAGTGAGACTAAGGCACATCTAAACTAAGTTGTCTCTTTATGAATAAAAGGTTTACATTATGCTGTAATTTGAGGAGATTGCTTCTTTCCTATTTTTCTTAAGGTCTTAGAGTGCTGAGTTATATGTATGCTGCACCATAACCACTAATATGCCATTTGTCATAGTCTAATCCTGCTTCATCATTGCTGTATTAACCTTTGGAGATCTTTCTTAGCATTTCATTTAACCAATATGGAAAGGATCTTTGTGTTGTGAGAGGCAGAGAGGTAGTTGCTTTGTCCTGAACGTGAGCTTTTACGTGAGTTCCTCTACTCATTCCTCACTAAAACAGCTTTCATTAGGCAGATGGGAGTGCTGCAGCATAGTTGGGAGAGGGAATTTTTGGCAATGTCTTTTAGGGAAGACTGGCTGGATCTTGAATATTGCTTTGAAGATCTAGAGACTTGTTCCCAAGGAAAATCAGATCCTGAGAGATTAACTTACATGAACACTGATGGAAAAGGAGACATCAGAACACACATTTATAATTGTGTCTGGTTGGACATGGTTCAGGGCTTGGACATCAGTTTAACTGAACATTTAATGCCAGATTAGACTAGCATTTCTCAACTGTGTAGTTTTTTAGAATTTATTACTTATTTTGGAAAAAAGCTATCCTACTGCAATTTAGTCACCACTCTATTTAGCCACCAGCCTGTGGAGCTGGAGCCAGCTTTGGAAGTGCTTTAGCACCAGCTCTGGAGTTGTGTCCAGTGCCAACCCAGGGCAGAGCTGTCCTTACCCTCTCTGCAATGATATTTCTATGATTTTTATTTTTTCCTATTTGATGTTTTATATCTTCGTTTATTTATTACATTGAATGAGCTGTAACTTTGTAGTCACTTGAAATTTTGCAGTCGAAGGGCACTGAGTGTATCTCTGGTGCTGGCACCCAGGACCACTGTGGGGCTGCATAGCACTTCCGTCACAGAGCAGAGGCTGCCCAGGATGCAGAGGCGTGAGCCGACTCAACCCTCCAGCCACTGCAGTCTGGGAGTGGCTTTGTCCCCAGCCCTGGGCCTCCTCCATGCTGGTCCCAGCAGTGTCTGTAGAACTCCAAGAGATCCCAGGTAGTAGAGAAGCAGCTACTCCACAGCAGCTGTGGCTCCAGTGCAGTCAGACCCCGAGCATCTGCAGAGCTTCTCATGGCAATGTAACAGCTCAGTCCCAGTGCCAAAGAAGGACACGCTCCAAACTAGACCAGCCAGAAACTTTCAGAGAATGGCAGCTCCCTCCTGGGAGTGGGCAACACCTCTAGTACCAGGTCCAAACCCAGTGGCATAGTGGCTGTGATTCTATCTCCAGAGACAGCACCAATGCAAGCTTCAGAAAGAACCAGCTTCACTCCCCCTCCTAATCCTAACAGAACCAGTCCTGGTAGCGCCCCTGAGCAAGGACCAGACCCACAGCTGGAATCCACTGTGGCATCAACTGCAGTGACAGGACCAGCCCCTACATGCAAGGGTATCCTTTCTATTTTATGAATATTTTTATTTTCCTTTTTTAAGATTTATTTATTTATTTGAAAGTTACACAGGGAGAAGGAGAGGCAGAGAGGGAGAGAAGACTTCCATCCACTGTTTTACTCTCCAATTGGCCACAATGGCCAGAGCTGTGCTAATCCGAAGCCAGGAGCCAGGAGCTTCTTCCGGGTCTCCCACATGGGTGCAGGGGCCTAAGGACTTGGTCCATCTTCTATTGCTTTCCCAAGCCATAGCAGAGAGCTGGGTCAGAATTGGAGCATCTGGGACTCGAACCGGCGCCCATATGTGATGCCAGCGCTACAGGCAGTGCTTGACTCACTACGCCACAGCACCGGCCCCAATTTTTTTTTATTTTCATGCATATGGTTACCTATATTTTATATCATAAAAAGTTTATTTTTATAAAACTTGAAATCACACAATTCCTGGGCGCCAACTGCCTGCACATGAGGCACACCCTCCTCTCTGTCTAATTCCAAACATTTTCCCCATCTCCATTGAAAACCCTGTGCTCATCAAGCAGTCACTCCCCATTCCAACTCCCTCGACTCCCTGGCATCTGTTCATTTATCATGGGATTCTGGAGCCTGGAGGAGGCTTGGATTTCTGCCCAGACTGGAGAGCTCAAGGCCGGCAGGGCAGAGTGATGCTCATCACGTTCTCATGGGGGGGGGGGGGCGCTCCTCTGGGCCCCCTGTGCTAGAAGCTGGGTCCCAGGAGGCTTCAAGGAGAGGAGCTCTGCATCGAGTAGGATGTGCTGGGCCAGTACGGGGCAGCGTGTGCGGGGCATGAAAGTGAACCTAGAGGTGCGGCACTGTCTGGAGCTGCTGTTTTGTTGGTGCAGACGACAGGGCCTCAGGTCTCAGAAGCTTTAGGGCAAGGGGGATCCAGTTCTCCTCCCTGGGAGGCAAGGTGTACAGTTCTCCCTCCTCAGGGGAGAGGGAGCGGGGCGTCAGGGGACAGGTGTAGGTGTACTGCCCAGGACAGGGGCCAGGGGCGGGCCCGAGGGAAGCCGGGGGGCGGGGGGGGGCTGCAAGGGGCAGATGGATCCTTTTTGCACTCCCTCTAGGAGGCCCTTTCCAGCTCAGTGTCCCCTGTCCCCTCTCCGGGTCTGGCCTCGGGGAATGTGGGCAGGGGGTGCACTGAGCCAGGAGGGGGCGCCTCTGTGTTCCCTGAGGCACCACCCTGCCCCCGTGCGGCCCAGCCGGGAAGGTGGCAGAGGGGCAAGCGGCCTGGCTGTGCTGAGATCAACGCGGAAAGATGGCCGAGCTGTGCACTCTTCCTGGTGAGTGTGGCTCCCGGGTCTCTGGTGAGGGTTGGGCGCGGCCATGGATGGGAAATCGGGACGGGCCCTAAGGCTGGACGGGTGAGCACCAAGACTCGCAGGCCTTGGGATAGGCCTGTGCAGAGCGGCCGGGGAGCGGGTCTGACCGGTGCCTGTGAGACCCTTTGGGCGGAGCGCGTGGTTGCGCTCTGGCATCCCGGGCCCTGGTCGGGGTGGTTGTCCTCTCCTCGCCCACACTCGGCTCATCTGTCCTTCCCGCAACTGGAACCATTGCTGACCGCCCCGACGACGGGGGCGTTGGAAGCGGGCTCTCAGGCCTGGAACAGGCCACCAGGTATCTGCTGCGTCTGGCGCACGCCGGTGCCCCGCGCTGATCCAGAGGAGCCCTGGGCACGCTGAGCGCGGGGAACCCCCTCTCCCTAGGTCCAGCTCAGGGCGCAGGGCCAGGTGTGGCCCAAGTGAGCTCTCTGTGACGGAGAGGCTGGGCTGCGGTTCCTTTGGGCAGTGCGTGGCGACACTGGGGAGGGCTGGAACCAGGAGGGACCTGTGGGGAGGCAGGGGCCGGGTAGGGTTGCCCTGCAGGCACTGCCTGAGTGCGGCACAGTACCTTACTGATGTTTTTACATCAGGCTTTAAAATTGTGATTAGTTCTAATTTATCAGTTTTTCTTTTATTGAAGAAATTTTTGCTTAATTCAGTGTCACAAAAGTTTAGTATTATGCTTTCTTCTAAAAGTTTCTTGTGTCTTTTTTTTTTTTTTAAATCTCCATTTCCTCTTAAGTTGTTGGCAAAAATATTTCCTTAATTTCTGTAAAGTTGGTATTGGTGTCTCTTTTTCATTCCTGATTTTAGTCATTTGCTCCCCCCATATAGATAAAATTTTTGTCTTTTCAAAGAATTGACATTTGATTTCTCTGATGTTCTTTTTTCTGATTCATTGGTATCTATTCTGTTATTAATTTTCCTGGTCACTTTTGGGCTTTTCATTTTTTGGTAGTTACTTACAATGAAAGTATTAGTTTGAGACTTTTCTAATCTAGGCCTAGAGCTACAAATTTTCCTCTAAACACAGCTGTAGCTGCATCACATACATTTAGATCTGTTGTATTTTTATTTTCATTCACCAACTGTTCATCTAGAAATACGTTGCTTAAGTTGTACCTATTGGTAGATTTCCCAGGTTTCCTTTGTTACTTGTAATTTTATCCTTGCATGAACTCAGTTGAATCTCACAGCATTTGGTGTACCACGGAGAATGTTCTAGGGACGCTTGAGGAGAATGTGTGCTGTGGAGATGCAGATTGGTCTGCTTGGGTTATGGTAGCATCAAGTCCTGAGTGTCTGCTCACTTTCTAATTATTCTGTCCACTATTGAGAGTGGGGTAGGATTTGAATTTTCCTGCTGCTTATCATCAAGCTGACTATTTCTCCATTCAGTTCTGTCACTTTTAGTTTCTTGTATTTTGGTGATGGGTTGTTACACATGTGTATATTTAAGTCTGTGTGTTCTGGGGCCATTGACTTTCTATGCCCAGAGCTTTTGTGATTATTTTTGTCAGGATGAGAGTTTTACCATCTTCTTGCTTTGGGCCTATTGGTTTGTTTCTAAGGTGTGTTGTCTGTATATTTGAGGCTTTAAAACAAAATCCAGTCAGATAACCTGTCCCTTTTGATCAGAGCATTTAATACACCACGTTCAGTGTTAATCTTGCTGTGGTTGGATTCTCATCTGTAATTCAGCAATCTGTCTTCTACACATTTCATGTCTCTTTCTTTTGTTCATCCTTGCCTGCCTTCTTTTTTATTGTGGTATTCCTAATGTATTATTTAATTCCTTTGCTTTTTCAGTACATAAAATTTTCTTTACATGATCTACTTCAGATTTATCAAGTTCTGCTTCAAATGAATACTAACTTTAGTAATGAACACATAATTATTACAATACTGCTCAATTTCCATTCTTCTGTAGGTGGTTTGTGATATTATTTTTATATGTGTTAATCTATGTTATTATAAATCTGATCATCCTGTGTTGAAATTATTAATTTTTATATAATCTAATTTTTATTAAATGGGGTCAAATAGGGAGAAAAATGCTTCAAGTGTTTAAAGATGTAATTCATTTGAAAGGCACAATGACAAAAAGAGAGAGGAAGACACATGGAAAGAGGTCTTCCATCTGCTGGCTCACTCCCCAAATGACTGCAATGGCTGGGGATATGCCATTCTGAAACCATAAGCCTGGAATTTCATGTGGATCTCTCACATAGGTGGCAGGATCACAGGTACTTGGGTCATCCCCTTATGACTTTCCTAAGCACATTAACAGGGTGCTGGGTTGGAAGCAGACCAGCCAGGACAGGACTGAAACCAGCACTCTAATATGGAATTCCAGGTTTGAAAATGGCAGATTAACCCACTGAGCCACAATTGCAGTCCTCAAAACATTTTGTTAAAAACTGCAAATTTACCATTTATTTGCTATTGCTATCTTCCTGTATATTCAAGTTATTGTCTGGGGACATTGCTCTGCACAGTATAGCTTCATTTCCTCCTCTGTGCTACAGTTGACAAGCATATTATACCCTTATATTATTATAATCCCAACAACTAAATCAGATTAACAAGGTCCCAGGATACAAAGCCAGTACATAAACCAATTATATTTTTGTAATACTTGCAACAATCAATTGGCAAGGAAGTAACAAAAAATACCACTTAACATCCAAAAACATGAAATACTTAAACATTTATCAAATTAGAAGCAATGCCTATGTAATGAAAACTACAAAATGCTGAGATTCTTAATGTCTCTATATTAAGGAAGACATAAGTAAATGGGCAGATACACTATGGTCATGGTTGGAAGACTTCATATTGCTTAATTTTCACTTCTTCCCAACTTGCACTCTGGCATTTATATAGCCTCAACCAAAAATCAAGAAGCGATTTTTGTTAAAACTGACAAACAGGGGGCCAGCACTGTGACATAGTGGGTAAAGCTGCCACCTGCAGTGCCAGCATCCCATATGGGCACCGGTTTGAATCCCAGCTGCTCCACTTCTGATCCAGATCCCTGCTGTGGCCTGGGAAAGCAATAGAAGATGACCCAAATGCTTGGGCCCCTGCACCCGCGTGGGAGACCCAGAAGCTCCTGGTTCCTGGCTTCGGATTGGCGCAGCTCCAGCCATTGCGGCCATTTGGGAAGTGAATCAGCAGATGGAAAACCTTTCTCTCTCTCTCTCTCTGCCTCTCCTTCTCTCTCTGTGTAACTCTGACTTTCAAATAAATAAATCTTTAAAAAATTGACCAACAATCTAAATATTTTATGAAAATGTAAATGTCCCATAATAGCCAAACTGTGTTAGAATTTCCTGGCTTGAGTTTCAGCTTGACAACTCATTCCAGCTTCCTGTTCGTGTATACCCCGGTAGGCAGCATACGATGATTCAAGTACTTGTGTGCCTTGTTTCCCATGTAGGAGCCACAGATGAGGGTTCTGGGTTCCTGGTTTCAGCCTGAACTAGTCCAAGCTGTTGCAGTCATCTGGGGAGTGAACCAGCAGATATAAAAATCTCTTTCTGTCTCTCTGCTTTTCCATAAAATAAAATAAAAAAATTTTAAAGAACAAGGAAAACCAAGTTGGGGGGCTTCCAACTTTCACAGCTACAGAAATACAGACAGGTTGGTATTACGGTAGCCATGGTAAGCTGTGCAGCCGAGGAGTAGACACATCCAGACACAGACACAGCTAATTTCAATGAGGGTACTATGATGCCAGGGTACTATGATGGGGAATGGGAAGTTTTTTCACACTCAGATAAAATTATTGAATTTCCATTTTTAAATTTTTGTTTTTGTTTTAAAGATTTATTTATTTATTTGAGAGGTAGAGTTACAAAGAGAAGGAGAGAGAGAGACAAAAGTCTTCTATCCACTGGTTCACTCCTCAAATGGCCCAAATGGCCCAAATGGCTCAAATGGCCGGCGCTGAGCAGATCTGAATTCAGGAGCCAGGAGCTCCTTCTAGATCTCCCACGTGGGTGCAGGAGCCCAAGGGCTTAGGCCATCTTTTTCTGCTTTCCCCAGCCACAGCAGAGAGCTAGATTGGAAGTGGAGCAGCTGGGACTAGAACTGGCGCCTGTATGGGATGCTGGCACTGCAGGAGGAGGATTAACCTATTGCACCACAGTGCAAGCTCCTGAATGTCCATTTTTAAAAGTCCCTCAACCTTTCATGCTATATCATTAAATTAATTTTAGGAGGAAATATTCATGAGCTTTGAGTGGGCAAAAATTTATGAGATGTTACCAAAAAGCTGAAGCCATAAAAATGATAAATCAGGCTTTATCAAAATTAAACCTTCTCTTTGAAAAAAAAAAAAAGGGAAAAATGTCAAAGTGATCAGACAAACTAGAGATGGAGAGGAACTATTTGTGTCTGGCCAAGGATACTCAAATCAGTACATATGAATAATAAAAAAAATGCATTTTAAAAGATTTATTTATTTATTTGAAACCCAGAATTACAGAGAGAGAGAGAGAATCTTCCATCTGCTGGTTCACTCCCCAACTGGCTGCAATAGCTGGAGCTGCACCGATCCAAAGCCAGTAGCCAGGAGCCTCTTCCTGGTCTCCCATGTGGGTGCAGAGGCCTAAGGACCTGGGCCATCTTCTACTGCTTTCCCAGGCCATAGCACAGAGCTGGATCAAAAGTGGAGCAGCTGGGGCTTGAACTGGCACCCATATGAGATGTTGGCACTACAGGTGGTGGCTTTACCCACTGTGCCACAGCGCCAGCCCCAAGAAATAATGCATTTAAAATGAGCAAAATGTTTAAACAGGTACTTCATGAGTAAGGGAAAGTGACCACTAAGTGCCTGGGAACATGGTGCCTGGCAGGTCCTCAGGCACAGCGAGGCCCCTTCACTGGTACTGGCCAGAGTGTGGGGCAGCTGCAGTCCTCATGCAGTGCTGCTGGGGAGACTTCACCATGCAGGGAATGACTTGGGCTGTTTTTACCAAGTCAAACACATATTTCACAGTGGACACATCCTTTTCACTCCTAGGTGATCAATCAAGAGAAACGGAAACACACAAATGTTTATAGAGGCTTTGTGGTAGCCACAGCAGGAAAAACAGAAACAATAAAGAACGAGTCACACAGTGACATATGAATGTTGTAATACTACTTGGCAATGCAGAATGAGCAAGGGACACTGGTGACTGCATGGATGAGTCTCAGAACACTGCTATAGGAGAAAGAATGAGCCATTCCGTGACATATGAGTAGTGCAATATTACCCAGCAATGCAGAGTGAGCAAGAGATAGGGGAGACTGCTGGATGAGTCTCAGAACACTGCTGCATGGGTGCAGCCAGAGGAGTGTGTATGGCATTGTTCCAATCACTTGCAGTACTAGGAGGGTAGACCAGTGGCTGGGGGCGGGGAGATGCTGGGTGATGAAAAATGTGTAGCTTGTTCAGGCTGGTGGTTACAGGTGCCGTGCATTGCTCAAGGCTCATCAAACTGTGTCCCTAAAATGCTTATAAATTATACCTCAAGGGGCTGGCATTGTGGCATAGCAGGTAAAACTATGTTTTTTTGAAAACCAAAATTGCACCCAGATTTCCCTACAGCCAACTATCAAAGAACCACACAGAGGGAGAAAGTGCAAACAGACATGTGACCTTCATCTTCCACCTCCCACATTCTGTTTCATGAGACTCGATGGCTCTGTCGTCATAGGATTTAGAAATGTGGGGGTGAATAGAGCAGGCAACTTAAGATAAGTAACAGATGGGTCAGTTGAAAGGAACAGGGGCAGTGACCTGGAGAGAGAAGCCTTTTAGAACAGTTGACTGTTGAAAGCGTGGCCTCACGAACCTGTCACCTTAAAGGACAAGCCATGAGAAGGGAGTGCTCAATGCAGGGACCAAGAGGTGAGGGGGGCAGCTGGGCAATGAGCTGTGGGAGACAAAGGGCTTCCCCTGTGGCAGAGTGTGTAGGGGGAGCAGAGAGGAGCTGGGTTGGGCAGGAAGCACCACCTGCCATCAGAGAGGAGTATGGGAATCTGTGATGAATCACGGGAAAGGCAGGTGTGTGGTGGGGAAGGTGACAGAAGGAATAACCAGACTTTCCACCACTGCTTTCCAGGAAAACCAAAATGCTACCCACTGCACTCAGTGGTCCTTCTGACAATTCTCATCTTGGCCTTCTTTGGGTAAGAAATGTGTGGGTTCTGTGGCTGAGCAGCTTGGGGAAGAACAGCCTTAGACCCCAATGGGGTCCCTACTCCCAGCACGGCATAGTGGGGAGGGACCTTGTGACACTAAGCAAGCTCGACCTCACCCTTCACTTGCTCCCTAACTGAAGCCTCTCCAGAGGAATGCACTCACACCCACCATCCATAAAAGGGATCTGGGGTCAGAAGTGGGGAAGTCAGGTCCCAGGGCCAAGCTGTGAGCACTATCCAGACAGAAGGTCCTAGAACCCAGAAAGAGGTCATGGCCAGCTCTACAGGGGCATCTGTGAACACTGACAGGAAACATTCCTTTAGGTGGTCTCCGGCTGCAAAGATCCTGGGGGGGGGACGGGGACTCTGCAGCTGCCACTGGAACCCACACACCCCCTATTCCCAGGGTCCTCCCTTCAGCTCACCTTTTGGTCTGGAACAGAGTAGGCCACCTGGGCTTTGCTATGAGCTTGCAGCCTGTGCTCTGTTCAGGAAGGGGAGGACAGTGGGTTTGGGCTCTGCATTCTGTACCACTCGCTGGTGCTTCCTTCCCACAGCTACGGGTTCCTGAGCTCCAGACACCTGATGCCGGCAGGCGTGAGAGCTGGTCACAGGTGAATGTGGGTGCAAGATGGGTAAGCTGCGCTGGCCTCAGGGCCTGGCTGCTGCTCCATGGATTTCCCTGGCCCCACCTGAGTCACCTCCCCTTCTCCTTTCAATGCTCTGTCCAAAACAGTCACGGCTGCCTCTAGGGCTTTGAAGGGTCCCAGGGCACTGCTGCACTCACATGCCTTGCTGTAGCCCCAACCTCCCATGTGTACTGCAGCCCTGACTCCAGGCTTCCTTGAGTAGCCCCACCCCCACCTCTATCCCTCCTCTTCATGGTCTTCCACCTCCACCTGCAGTAGGCATGTGGCAGCTGGCCTTGAGGCTTCCCTCATGCTCACCCTGCACCTGCTCATGCCTAGGGCCTGACAGTGCTGCCTCAGTTCCTGCCCCCCATAATGACTCCTCTCTGCCTCAACCGCACTCATCTCTGCGTCAGCTGCATACTCATCTCCCTGCTCTCCCTCCTCACCTCTCAGCTGTCACAGAAGCAAGAGTGATGTTTCTGGAACACGGGAGAGGAGGCCATGTGTGGTTTGGTCTGTAGGGCCTCTCTAGCCCATCCTTCCCACCACAGCCCAGGGTGGCTGCTGTCATGCCTCTGTGTGCCACGTGACCCTTACTCCAGGCCTTGGTCTGTGTTGCACCTCTACCATGACCACTCTTGTCTCCCACCTGCTCTCAGTTTCCACAATCTCCTTCTTGCCTCCATTCTCCAGTGCAGTGGAGCCACCACCCCTTGCATGCTGGAAACCACTGTGGTCCCTGCCTGCTTGCTCCCCAGGCTCCTGGACTGCCTGGGCTCAGCTGGGCAACTCTCCATTGGGTCTCTCAGATGATCACAGGCAGACAGTGGCCAGGGACAGGGTTCTCTTGAAATGTCTGCACACTCCCAGTGGTTGCTGCTGGAGACACTCGCCCAGGACTCTATGTGGCCTCAGGTACAAGATTGGCATCTCCCAGGGGTAAGAGACCATGCCATCTTTCAGATCCTGGCTTCAGAAGCTGCCAGCATCACTTCTGTTGCATTTCCCTCGCATCTTGTCCTCTACAAGGCCAGTGACTTGAACTCCACCTGAAGGGAGGGGGCACATTCTGAAACTCCCACCTGCCCACCAGCCTAGAAGCATCTGGAAAACCGGAGGTAGGGAGGGGAGCTGAGCAACTCAGTCAAGAGCAAACTGCAGTGTTTGATGGGACAATGACACCAAGGGCACAGTCAGCACCAGGCAGGTGTCCCAGCTACCACTGTCCCCCATGAACCCCCGGATTATGTGCACTGCCTTCTGCTCCTGGTACCAACCTCGTCTCCTGTGTTTCATCCTACAGTGTCGCTGTTAGAGACCCTGATGGCTGGCAAGTTGTCACCTTGTCCAGGTATCACAGCCTCATTCAGTCTTCCCACACTGCACTCTTGCCCTCAGCCCTGGAGTATGGACAGAGACTGTAGATGCCGGGCAGCCCCTTCCTGCCTGCCATCCATGGAAATGGGTGGCTCCTTCCCCACATCTGTGCTCTGACTTTGCCCTCATCTTGCAGTTGGGGAGACCATGTGGCAGCGCATGTCATTTGGCTTCTCCAGGTGGTGGTCACCAACCTGGTGTGCTGGAGGCTCAGAAGGCCAGTGCCTGGGATGGGGCCTTTGTCAGGGCTGAAACTGTCAGCAGTGTTGGCCTCACTGGCCACTCCCCATGTATATATTTGCGTTTGTGAGACACTCCCTCTGTATCCCTATGCCAGCCCCAGGCACCCCCTTACACTTCCTTCCTCCACAGAGCTGTGAACTCTCTGGCAGCCTCAATGGGTCCCATGGGAGTTCTTTGGTAGCAGCTTGACCCACAACTGAAGTCCCTGTGTGTGCAGGCACAGCTGCCTTTAGAAGAGGCCCTGTCTCTCCTGGGCTCTGCATGCTCTATGTGAGGACAGTGCCACTGCTCATGGGTTGTCATATCCATGTTCCACACCACTGTCAGAGCAGATCCTGACAGCTGAGGGAGCTGGGTGCTGGTCTCCCATTTCTCAGATAGGAAGCCAGAGCTCAGGGAGCCACATGGCCTGCGGCAGAGCAAGCCGATGAGCTGTGTCTCTGATGGCTATTCTCCACACACAAGGCCATGTTTAGCTTCCTCCTTACCAAAGTGAGCCACACAGACCTCTTAGGTTCCTTCCAACCCCCCAAGGTTGCCTAGTTGCTCTCCCCAGTTTACAAATGCTGAATTGGCATCTGTGAGTTTCCTTCCTCGGGGTCTCCAGATTACAGACCGAGTGGGCCCAGGGCAGCCTGTGTGGGGCTGTTTGCCCTGCACTCCACCCACAGCCCATGTCCTATGTAATTTCATGAACCCTCATGACAGAAGCTTTTTTTTTTTTTTAATTTCTTGCAGGATGTTGTATCCCCAGCCAATGGTGCTGACTCCCTCGTGAGTGATTTGACTGATATTTTACAAAGGACGAGTGCTGTCCCAGAGATGCCAGAGCAGGACATGGTGTCTGGATATCAGGGGAGCAATTCACATAGGTTCTGAGGCCTAAATCTGGAGGCCCCCATGCTGCTCCCTGTCCCTCTTATTTCCTTAGCCTGGCTTCCCTGTCTTCTATCCCTTTATCCAATAGGGGACATGCACAGCTTGGTGGGGTCTTCCCTACAGTGGGGAGGGGGCTCCTGCCCTCGGTGAGCAAACCTCCCTTCCCTGTGGAGGCAGCATGGTCTGAGCCAGTCACAAGTTGCCTGGCAGGGGTCTGGGTTTGCCTGCTGAGACCCTCTGGAAGGGGGATAGCCTTGGGGGATACTGGGAGGTGGAGGCTGAGTAGAGGGTCTTGGGATGGGCCACCCAGCTGTCAGCTCACACATTGCTGTGTGGCTCTCTCCCTGTGCAGGAGGAGTGATGCCCTCACTGTGACCCCCTGGCTGGCTCCCATCATCTGGGAGGGGACCTTCAACATTGACCTCCTGAACGAGCAGTTCTGGCTACAGAACTTGACTGTCGGACTGACTGTGTTTGCCGTCAAGAAGTGAGTAGGTGGGGTGGCCGAGCACTCAGTAGGGGAAGAAGGAGAGGTCTGTTTGCTCTTGTGGACACTGTGCACTGATGCCCACAGAACTGGGGGCTCTCCTTTGGGCTCAGTTGCAGAATGATGCAGACAGCTTCATGGCTCAGGCCCTGGGACTCTGGGTCTAACTAGCTTCATGTGAGCTGATGAGAGCCCACAGGCAACCAGCTGGGCCTCATGGAGCCACAGAGAGAAGGGATGGTGACTGCTGTGCAGAGCCACGTGGGGGAGGAATCTGACCTCAGATCTGGCTCCTGCTGCACAGTGTCATCCCATGGGGTATGTGGGTGTTCCTTAATTAACTGCAGCACCTGCCTCCCCATTGAAGACTTCATTGATGAGCCAGGGGTGTGACAGGCTCAGGTGAAAGTCATGGTGGCTGTTCCGGAAACTTCCACTCAGGGTTGGGGGTGGGAGCATAGCACACTTGCCAGTTGATGGGGAAGCCCCATCCCCATGGCTGTGGAGCAAAGCTCTGGAGACCTCCGGGAGAGACCAGCCATCCAAAGCAGGTGAACACATCCTGGGCTCGGGGCAGCGGGGGGAGGGTGGGAGGGCACACAAATTGAGCCTGGAAGCTTTTGCTCTTGGACTAAAGGTGAGGTTTATGGCCTAAGCCTTACCTGTCTCTTCTTCCTTGGATGCCTACCTCCTGTCTCCTTTCCATGGTTTGAGACCTGGCCCCTGCCATGGTGGGTGTACTTAGTGGAGACTCCTCAGTGGTTTACAGAGGACCTTGGCAGCAGGTCTCCTTCAAGCCTCTAGGGGACAGAGCACCAGGGTGTAACACTGGGATCCAGACCCTGAGGAGCAGGGGGTGAGTGGTGGGGTCCTCACAGGTCCCAACCAGCTCTGCCAGGTGCGAGAAGGAGTTCCATGGGCTGAGCTTCACCCAGGTGAGCCTGTAGGTTCCACAATGGGTCTGCCAGGGAAGCTCAAGCCCCACCCCTTACTGTCTGGGCTACCATGTAGCCCCACTGTACCTCAGCTCCCCTGCCCTCAGGGAAGAGAGGGTTAAGCGAGGCACAGCCATGAACACACCTGAGACAGGGCAAGAGAGTGTGGTGCCTCTGCTGCTTGCAGCCTCAGGAGATCCTGTGTTTCTGAGTGCCCAAGTATCCTGTGGCCACCTGGGGTGGGGTGCTGACCAAGGCTCCATGGCCTTGCTTTCTGCCCCCTTGTAGATACATGGTCTTCCTGAAGGCGTTCCTGGAGACGGCAGAGCAGCACTTCATGGTGGGACACCACGTCACCTACTATGTCTTCACTGACCGGCCAGCCGACGTGCCCCATGTGCTGCTCAAGGAGGGCCGGCAGCTGGTGGTCCTCTCCGTGCGCAGCTATGCACGCTGGCAGGACGTGTCCATGCACCGCATGGAGATGATCAGCAATTTCTCAGAGCAGCGCTTCCGCCACGAGGTGGACTACCTGGTGTGTTCTGATGTGGACATGAAATTCTGGGACCACGTGGGTGTGGAGATCCTCTCCCCTCTGTTTGGCACCCTGCACCCTGCCTTCTACACAGCCAACCGCAAGGCCTTCACCTATGAGAGGCGACGGAGGTCCCAGGCATACATCCCCTGGGATGAGGGTGACTTTTACTACATTGGGGCCTTCTTTGGGGGCTCAGTGGCTGAGGTGCAGCAGCTCACCAGCGCCTGTCACCAGGCCATGATGGTTGACAAGGCCAAAGGCATCGAAGCTGTGTGGCACGACGAGAGTCACCTGAACAAGTACCTTTTGCACCACAAGCCCACCAAGGTGCTGTCCCCTGAGTACCTGTGGGGTGACTGGCTGCTGGACTGGCACCCAGTCTTGAAGAAGCTGAGGTTTGTAACTGTGCCCAAGAACCGCCAGAAAATTCGGAATCCATGAGGAGCTTGAGGAGGATGAGGGCCTGGCAGTCTGTGCTCCTTCCCTGGGCCACCCTGTCCCAGAAGCAGTTTGGGAGAAAAGGGTGCAGTGACTCCACTTCATCTCCCTGTGAAGAGACTGCTGAAACTGAGCTGCCCAGGCAGGCCCAGCCTCTGTCCCTACCCAGAGACTTGCACACAGACACATGCACAATGACACACAGACATGCACACAAACATACAGAGATATAAACAGACATGCACACAGACACACAAAGCCCCAGTCGGTACCTCTGTGGCTACCACTAGAAGCTTCTGCCAAGTGTGACCTGCACCCTATGTCTGGGATGAGGCCAGTCTCCATCTTCCTGACAAAAGGTCTGCAATTGAGCTGTGCCCTCTTTCATGGGTATTTTGGATATGTTTAAAAAGTCATGGCTGGGGCTGGCACTGTGGCTCACTGGGTACTGGTTCTAGTCCCAGCTGCTCCACTTCTGAACCAGCTCCCTGCTAATGTATCTGGGAAAGCACTGGGATATGGCACAAGTACTTAGGTCCCTGCCACCCACGTGGGAGACCTGGATGAAGCTCTTGGCTCCTTGCTTTTGCCTGGCCCAGCCCTAGCCATTGTGACCATTTGGAAAATGAACTAGCAGATGGAAGATTTTGCTCTCCCTCACCCTCTCCCTCTGTAATTCTTCCTTTCAAATAAATAAATCTTTTAAAAACCTCATTGTCAATGTCAGCTAGCTTCTCCTGTGGTCTTCTAAGAATTGTATCATTTTATGTTTTATGTTTAGTTCTGTGATCAATTTGAAGTTCATTCTTGTGGAATGTGTAGTGTGTATTGTACATCACACCTCTATTGTGTTGTAAGTGTAGTATGTTTGTAGTGGGTCTACTGTGCATGCATGTACATTGTGTGTTGTGTGTAGTGTGTATGGTGGGTCTGTATTGTGTATATAGCTTTAAACACATGAATGTATGCTCATTGTCCTGTAAACTGTTGAAGGAAGAGTTTGGGAAATGCATGCTGAGCTGTGCAGAACTGAGGGCCTTTATTCCTGAGTGACGGGAACCTCTACACCTTCCCACAGAGGCTGTTGGTGTTTTAATTCTGTCAAAATCACTAATGTTTTTCCCCTAACTCTGCAGGAAGCTGCAGGGCACATGACCCATGGAGACACCCTGAGTCTGCTTGCCTGTCCATTGCTCCTCACCACAGCTTTCCTCATAAGATCAGGAGACTGGAAATGACCTGGCTAACTCATTGGAGCTCATGTTCTGAACGGCTGGGGAAGAAAATAAGGAGTGAAGCGAGTCCTTTATGTGCCGATCTGGAAAGATCTCTGGCTGGCTGTGATTACAGAAGGCATGTCCATTGTTGGTCTGTGCCTCAGCTGCACCTTGAGCAGTCACATGGCAAATCTTTCCCCAACACCTTGATCATTGAACCACATGGTTTCAGGGTTTCCAGCTCAGCTTGGCCAATGATAAAAGGACCCTAGCCAGTCCTCTGTTGGGACACATCCAAGTTCCCTTGGTGAATCTAAAATCCCACCTTCAACAGAGTGGCCAGTGGTAGTCCCACTGCCTTGGAAACCCCCAAACCAAGGGAGTGCTGTGGTTTCTGGAATTCTTGCCTGGAGCTGCAGGGTTGGTGATGGCCACAAGAGGGCAGTGGTGCCCCAGTGCACAATGGAGCCACGGGAGGCAGGGAAGAGCCCCTAGGATCAGCCTGTCTCTGTTCTCATAGAACATGATCTATCCATAGCATCTGTGTCTACAGTGTATGCTGCTCAAAGTACAGAGGGGCTCCCAGAGGCTCTCAACCTTGTAGTCAGCACCTGTGCCCCAGACACGTCCTGGGGACCTTGCTGGGCCTGGGTGCACCCCTGAAATGGCCATCAGGGGCGTGCTTAGTCTGGAGATATGAAGGCTCCAAAGCAAACCCAGAGAAAGACAAGGCTCTAGAGGGAAGATGAGGCCACGGCCACAGGTAGGGCTGGGGGATCGCCAGGAGGGGAGAAAGGGTGTTCCTAAGTAGACACTGATGCTGCACCCAGAAGTATAGGATCAACCAGGCCTGTCCAAGTCCTGGAGCTGACTGGGGCCAAGGTGAATGTGGCCGGGAGCATGGGGGGACATGGCTGCTGAGAGCTTGGTGGTGGGGCTGGGGGCAGGGATGACCCCAGGGCCTGGGCCTGACTTGTTGCTGCTGGCCAGACATTTCTGATGCCAAAGAGCCTATGGACTGGAACCCAGCCCCAGATTAGTCGGGATTCTGTCCTAACGCCCCAGGAGGCCTATGGCCACACTCTGAGCTGTGGCTCAACAGGGTCCGACTGCCTCTGGGCCCACTGCCCTGTCACTGGCAAGCTGCAGACTGGGTTGAGGGCCTTGGTGCCTTTCTGAACTTTGACTGGGACTCTGCTTCCTCCCACTGGGGCCTGTCCATTGGTAGTTCATAATATCCCAGCCTGTTTTTGTAAAAGAAGGGGAGAGAGGAGACAGGGAGGGAGGGAGAGGAAACCACAGAACTTTTGCCAAGTTGTTCCTTAGGAGCCAGAAGCTTAGTCAAGACCACCAGGAGGGGAAGGTGTCACAGGACTTGCATGCCACAGGAGTGATCACTGGGGACCCTGGCTGTGGCTGCCCCTCTCAGACCCAGAGGCCCTGGACTGATTCTGGATGCGACGAGAGTGCAGGAAGGTACTGCCACAGGGGTCTCCCTGAAACTCTACATCTCAACATTCCCATGGTGCAAGGAGGGGCCTCAAGAGGGAAAGTGGTTTTCCCTGGATCACATGTGAGGACCCAGGGTGGGGGCAGCGGGGCCCATTCTTTGCCCCAGTGGTTCTCAGAGTCCTTCCATCTCTAGGTTGTGCATAAACTGCAGGTGACACAAGCCCCAGGGTTCACAAGTCACACAGGTGTTTGTGGTCTACACACCTGAGGACATCCCCTGGGAGCAGAGGGGAGACAGAGAAGGCCCTGAGAGACACAAGAACTTGTCCAAGGATACCAGCCTGGACAAAACAGTGGTCAGATCTTACCCCACTGATTTGACCCAATGTGCCCTCCCAGCCGGGGCACTGGCTGCCACAGGCCTGCCCTGGGTAGCTGCTGGGTGGTGTTGGTGTAACTGCAGGTCTGCACATGGTGAGGGGGTGGAATAAGCAGCCTACAGGGCCTTACATAGGTCTTGTCTGAAGAAGGGGCTCAGTTCAGTGTTCCTCAGGAGGTGATCTCATCTTAGGTAGGTCTTGTCTGAGGAAGGTGCTCAGTTGAGTGGTCCTCAGGAGGTGATCTCATTTCCTTGACAGTGGTGACTCTGGTAAGTAGGTGTGTTGTCTCCCACCATCCTGAAGCCCAGGCCTCAGTCAACCCTGGGCTGAGGTCTTCTTGGATGCTGCAGACACTAGGGTGGTCCTCACCCCCGATGGTTCTTGTGCTTCTCCCACAGGGACACAAAAGTGACATGAGACAACCAGCCAGGACACTACTCTGAGACCTGTGGGGCAGCTCTTCAGCCCTCCCTGGGTCCATCTTCTCATCTGTGTGGAGTAGCCATGGTCACCCCGTTACATATAAGCAAGCAAGTCTTGAGAGAGGGCCCATGCTCTGTTATGCATCTGGTGGAATAAGGTGTGGCTTACCTTACCCACACTGAGCCCAGACCATGGGGAGGCACTGAGGAAACTGCACACACGGAGCACATCCTCCCCTGGGTGTCTCCTTTTATGCATTCGTGAGGCCAGACTTTCACCCTCTTCCTATGTAAGTGAGGACACTGAAGTCCAGAAGGTCTGGATGACCTTCTCAAATCCAGCCTGTGTGATCCTTGGTAGAGTTTGGTTCCTTGAATGTAGACAAGGTCTTAGGGACAGGTCACTTGTTACAGATGATCCCAGGTGCCTCTGAGTATGTGGAAAGGTCAGGGGTGTTAAGAAAGCAAGGGAAGGGCCTTGGTAAACAAAGCATACAGTGGGCACTGGGCTTGACCTTACACAGAGTGATCGGTGCTGTGGCCATGGTTGGAGGGTAGTCCCTGGGACATTGAAAGTCTTGCACAGCTGCCTGGTTCTGGCTTACAGGAGAAGCTCCTGGGGTGCCTGAGTACCCCAAGGCAGAGGTTCTATGCAGGTGTTCTGGGGTGACAGCCTCTGCAGAAAAAGATTGAGTAATATCTACTTAATACAAAAGTAGAAAACGAATGATGAAAACAGGAACCAAAATACCTCAGACATATAGGAAACAGCAAACTGGCAGTCATATATCCAATCACAAGAATAATTATACCAAATGTAAACGGGTTAAGTACATTCATCAAGAAACAGATGCTGACAGAGTGTACATAAAACAAGATCTAATTTTATGCTATTTATAATAGAAGTTCTTCTGGATCATAGTCACAAATATGTTGAAAGTAAAATGATGAAAAATATTTTTAAAAAAGAAAGAAGTAAAATGATCGAAAAAAAGAGACCATGCAAACTAATCATGAAAGCTGCAGGAGCTATATTAATATCAGGCAAAATGGACTGGATGACAAAAAACTGCTACTAAAGATGCATAGGGAAATTTCATTACAAATACAGCATCTTATGTCCATGGAGAAAACTTCTTGTAAATGTATATGCATCTCCAAATGCTATCAAAAATGTGGCCAAAAAGCAAATCCAACTAAACAACAATGACAAATACCTCAAGCTCCAGCACAAAAGTTGGAAACACAAAAAGAAAGAACTGAAAAGAAAAAAAGAACAAAGTTACATATTAGATAGGAAAAATGAAAATTACCTTTATTTACAGAAAATACAGTGCTCTATATAGAATATCCTAGGGAGTCATCAGCAAAAGCCCACATAAGCTAGTAAGTGAGTTCTGCAAGGTCACAGGATAGAAAATCAATAGATGAAACTAATTCCACCTCTCTGCATGGGTCATGATCAATGTGTGAGTGAACCGGAGAGAAGAATTCCCACCACAAAGTCTCTAAAAGGCACAGCATACTTAGCA